CTTATAACTCGAAAACTATCAACTTTAGAAAAAAATCACAACAAAGCTTTTTTGTTTAGAATGACCCAAAAAATCTAAAAAAATGTTTTCCAGATTAAAAAAAAAATATTTTTGGAATTTGTTTAAAAAAATTGTTTAAACAATTTCTGTCCAAAAATTTCGCCCGGCACCCTTCAGATTTGTTTAAAGGGGACATTTTTGAACCGGAATCCGCGAAGAAACCGAATCAGAAACATTTTCCCAACGGGATCAGCCTCACAGCCTGGACTATACGGCAATACTTGCTTTTCTTATTCTAGGTACATATGCATAGTGCATATTTTTGAATTTCAAATGGTACCATAGTAACATAATGTATATTATTTTCTGAATTATATTATTGCAAGAAAATATCTTTCAGATTAACAATTAGAATAATTCAAACTCCCAAAATTCAAAAGAAAAATTTTGTTTTTGATCTAACCTGTCAAGAATTTAGTCACGCCGATTGATAAAACTATATCTTTTTTAAAGGTTATATCAATTTGTATATTCAATACGTTTTTTTGAAAACAATTTCTGAACTCGAAGTCGAAACGTAAAAAACATAATTTTAACCAAAATTGTTGTGGTTTTTCTGTAAAAATATAAAATATTCAGAATAAAAAATATTACAAGAGAATAACTAAGAGACACCGATTGGGATATTGTTTAGTAATAAAAAAATCAGTACAACTTAAGAAAACCAGTGTATATATTTTTTAACCGTTGGTGGAATGCGACCACGCCATCAAATACCTCTTGTGGCTTGTTGCCTTCGAGGAGCCATGCAGTCTGCGGGCGAAGTAAGCCAGCAACAGCGACACAGCGACTGGTTGGTTTTATTTTAGTCCGTTGCCTGTCTTGTCTTTCATTTTCTTCCACACCATTATGTATACACAAGCCAACTATTTAATAATCATCCATGCTAGTTAAGTGGCCCATAATATCAACCAGCCGCAGCCGGTCTGACGCTAGTTCCTTCCTTTTTTACGGTTTTTCTTCTTGTTTATTTTTTCAGACTTCACATTGACCTCGCCTTCGGTGTATTTGCGTTTTACTGGGTGGTCGAGTACAGTGGGAAGTAATTTTGAGTTGATGATAATAATTTGCAGGGCAATTTCATCGATATTTTTTAACTAGTTCCTTATGCGAGTAGTATCTTAAGACTCTTGCCCATAAAAATATGTAAATTGCTGTTGTTACTCGTAAATGCAGCAGCTACAATTCAATTAGGTCATCATTTTGTTTTAAAATGGACAAATTACACGCAAAATTCAATTCAGTGACACTTAAAATAATGTATATACATCATCACAGCAAACCTTAAAGTTCTGGGAGCTGCTTGTAGAGATTACCCTATTTTTCTTGTACAAATCTTAATTTTTCCAATTTTTGATATTCAATTTTCTAAATATTCTTCCACAATGGACAATACTTACCTTCCTTTCCTTTTTTTCCGTTGCATTTTCAGATTTTTTTAATTAATTTGTTATTCTTTCTACGTGCTCTAGCTACCTAACAATCTAAGCTTTTATATATGTTGTTATTGACGTATAGTTCTATTATTTATTTCTTAAATATTATCTACATTTATAACCGTTAGTCACCTATATTTGATCTTAGTAGAATTGTCCTTTCTTAGTTTTTGATCTGTCTTACTTAATACAAATATCTTGCACTAAATACTATCAATACGACCACAATAAACTATCACGGAAACGTTCTTTACACATAAAGATATTGATACATACTCACGAAATACTTGACAATGTATTACAGTTATGCTAATAACGGTACCTTAATTATCTTATCATTATACCTCCAGTGAATGTGTCCCCTGCATTTGATGGAATTTGTTAGCTTCTAGACTTTCTAGCTATTTTGTTTTTAGAATTCAAAAGCTAACATTGTTCAGGCAGCAATAAACCTTCTTTTAAGTTACAAAATGAAGCCATTAAGCAGCAATAATATTGACCAGATGTCTCGTGCCACATATAAGTTGACCTGGTTTTGCCAACGTATCAAGTTTTTTATGGCAAGTCAATGTTTTCACCTGCCATAAAAATCAATTGTTTCTTTTACCCCTTTATTTAGGGCGTCTTTTTGCTCTTTACCAATTATAACTGCTACCAATTTACTGGTTACAATTGGTGCCCAACGTGGGGCACTGTTTTCTTTAATATTTAATGTACTAGTTTATATTTCTAAATACATCAGTATAAAATGCATTTATTGTCACATTCTGGTCAGGAAAGTAAAGCATAGAAAGTAAGTTTTAGATTGATTTTTAATATTTAAATTTTTATTTATTAATAATATTTATTTCATACCTTATATATATATATATATATATATATATATATATATATATATATATATATATATACCATTTATTCTTTTATCTTTTGTTATACAGGTTTTACATATATTATTTAAAATTTTTTTTACTGTTTTCGAAAGTTTTGGGTACCCATATTTAGTATTGTTATACCTAACTTGTTCATGTCTTGAATTGAATTGATTAATTTTTGCACTTTTTACACCTGCGTCTTTATCAGTTTTGCTTGTTTAGTTTTGTTTCATTAGAAACTACTTCCCTAGCTATATTTTGTCAAACTCATGTCAAAAATAGTTCAAGCGGCACTACAAACTACAATTTTTTCACTAGATTATATTGACAGAATTTTTAAATAACGTGATTTGATTAAGAAATTAATGTGTTGTTCACTAGTATGCAGTTTAAATTATTTTCTAAATTGTTGTTAGTTTACAAGTCTGAATTATAAATTGAAGGGTAAGGGGAAAAAACAAACGATGTCCATTTTATAAGAATTTCAGGTAATCAACTCATTGTGTTGACAATATCTGGTCCCAAAGACGTGCTAAATTGTATGGGAATAATACCAACGGTGTCCAAATAAGAAAGCATTAGAATATACCCATACTGGTTAAAAACAAACATTGTCCGCGTGGTACTGGTAAACAACCGACGTAGTCCAACTACATAGTTGCGTAGCAACGACATTTAACAGGGCGTGACAATCTTACATGTTTTGTTTTGTTCTTTTTGCGGCAATTTATGTCAAGATGAGTTCGAGTGAAGAGTATTTGTGTGACGAATTGTTAAAAAAACCAAGAAACGAAAGAAAATTGGTCGAACTGCAGATGTAATGAAAAAGTTAAGATTGCAGTCTCACGAGTTATTATATGATTGTAAGTGTAAAAGACTGAAGTGTTTTGAAAACACTACTGCTCAAGCGAGGCAAAACATACTTAACGCATTCAATCAACTAGGATCAATTGATGCTCAAAGCTGTTATTTAGCTGTGATTTATTGCTGTATTGCCAGTTGTAAGACGAAGGTTACGACAAATCGATGGAGAACATCATGATGCTACCTACCGCTACAGAGTACGAGTGAAGAGAGAAAACATAATAGAAGAAATATCTGTCTGCAGTAGTGCTTTTACTACAATGCATTGTATTACTAGATCTTAGTTGGTCCATATTCAAGCATCTCTGAAAACTTCCGGTATTGCTCCTGTCGACAAAAGAGGAAAGCATTCTTCGAAACATCGTCAGTTAACTTTAGATTTGAGTAACCAGATTCAGCAACATATTGCTTCATTTCGGGGCAGGTTAAGTCATTATAGCATGCACGACTCCAAAAAAGTGTATTTAACTGAAGAGTTAAATATTATGAAAATGTTCCAAATGTTTAAAGTAAAGTAACATATTGCGTCTGTTTCATATGACACCTACCGAAATATTTTTAATAACAAGTTCAACATTTCGTTTGGATACCCAAGGGCAGATATCTGTAGCAAGTATGATGCGTTTAATGCAAAAATCAAGACTCTTCATTCTGTTGACGATGCACCACAGATAAAAGCTCTATCTACTGAAAATAACTTGCACAAAATCCGTGCCCAACATCAGCACTAACGATGTTTATTATAGGAGACAAGTTTCTATGTTTTCTTTCAACATTCACGTGCCATCTTCAGGAAAATCCTGTTTTTTTTGCATATCCTGAATGTGTCAAGAAAAGGATCCGACGAGGTATCATCGTTTCTCTTCTTTTTCATTTTTAATGAACTACCAACAGAAGTCCGCCACCTTCACATTTTCTGCGACTTAGCTGGCGGACAAAATAAAAATTTCAGTTGTTTGGCTACTTCATTACATTGTCCATGATATAAAGTGTCTAGATACTATTTAAGTCACATTCCCCATTAGAGGACATTCGTATCTAGAATGTGATAAAAACATGGGCTTGATAAACTTGAAGACTAGGATGGAACTGCCCGTAGATTGGATAAATGTGTTAAACGATGCAAGAAAAAAGCCGGAACCGTTCAAAGATATAGACGTGGGCAAGACATTAACGAAACAGTGGATTACTTTTCTGCAAGAAAAATGTATTCGTAAGTGTCCAGTAGCTCTGCAACAAGTAAGGGAACTTCGATTCATGAAAGAAAAACGCGGATTGGTTTTTTACCGAACCACTTATAATAATATTTGGGAAAGCAAACAAATAACAGGTAGTTCAATAAAATCTGTTGTTCTAAGAAAAATAAAAGATGTGTTACAAGTGTTAAAATGATTTTGTCTTCCAAATGCTTAAGAATTTTATGAAACATTGCTATACAAATGAAAAATTTTTGTGTAGGATTATGCCAAAAATTGACATCGTTGGTTTTTAACAAGTTATTTGTGACGTTAACATGTTTTTTTATTTTTTCAACAAAATTTAATAAGTTCGTATTCTTTTGTTTAGATATTAACAATATAGTAATAAACTACTTAAAAATATTGGTATGCAGTTTTATTTATTTCTAAGATCATAACTAGCGGTTTAGTAACGTTAATTAAGTTTTCTCTGTAAGTTACTTTTGTGACATGGTTTGTTTTTTCCCCTTACTCTTCAATTATGATTTGTATAAAATTGTAAAAAATGAAAAACAGTAAAAACTTACCATTATTTTCATTAAATTCCATGATATCAGAATTCACGTCATTCATCTTTTTGGTCGGATGTGGTAACCGCTTCATTCTATGGATTAAACTAGTAGTTGATCCATCGACATATTCCTCAGCTGGTTCTATGTAATAGCTGCTGTCGGTCGCCTTTATATATCCAGTCTGAAAAGAAAAAGTAATTGTTAAAAAACGTTTGTTATTTATTAGTTAAACATTTTAATATCTTAAAGAAGGTGGCATAGATGATGTAGCTGAATACTGTACATATAACAGCTAGCGAATAACTTATAAAGGAGAAATTACATTATACAGATTACATACTAGAGCAGATCTTGGTCTAACACACTGCGACATATTACAGAATTATTCTGTTCCCTTTATCACTTAAAGTTCATCGTCCAGCCCATCCTCGTATGAGAACCAGATGTCTCTTCATATACACTGATGCTTTTGGTTTTTCCTCTCTGAGTTCTAGATGCCACAGACTGGTAAGGTCACTCTCACATTGACAAGATGTGCAGAGTGGTTTCCTTTTGTTATAGACAGAACCAACAAACCATCATAACTCTATTTCGCATATTTTCATTCTCATTTCTTGGTTCATTTATTTTGTATTCTTAGCTTTATTAGGTTTATGCTGTTTTCGTATTTCTACAAGATCTAATATTTCGTTAGTCATTGATTTCTGTTGTTTGTTTGGTCAATTTTTCTTTAGGCCATTAGCGATGGTTTTTATGTTTCAGTTATCATGCACTTAGTATTTTGCATTTTCTTCATTGATTGTTATTTTTCAGATTTAAGCCATACCTCTCACTCCCTCACAGAGGAAAATTCATTCATTTCAGATGCCTACGGCATCAAAAGGAATGGGCTCTTTCTGTGTTATGGGACCCTAGATATCCTGGTATGCTGGAGTAACTCTACGAATCTGGACTTACATTTTCTGCTTGGTCTTATAGATATGCTTACTTTCTGTGCTTATGATTCTTCGAAGTAACTCCACTAGAAGAAAGAATAATGGGTATTGTCTGGGTACTTTTCATTTGTCATTGTCTTCTTATCTGTATTTCAAGATCGCTATACGTAGCGATTTTCTCGTTATATTTAACATGCAGATTACTTTTTTTAGATATTGCCACATCAATTAGTTTTGTTTGTCTAGTTAGATTAAAATTAGTTGTCTATTATGCGCCACTGGTTAGTCTGTGAGAACATTGCGGTCCCAGTATATCTTGTAGTTATCATTTTCAAGCATTTTGTCAGGGACGTATTGCTAATAACGGAGATTGTAAAGGTCCCAATTTGTTGGCTAGTTCTTAGTGAATAATCCGTCCTACTGAGTCATTCATTCTTTATAATCAATTCTGACAAACGCCTTGAAGCCTCTGATAAGATATTGGCTGGTTTCTTGGACTTAACATCCGCCATTGTCGTTTTGAACCTGAGGCATTTTGGCAATACATTTTAGGTCATTTTTGGTTGAAATGATCTGACTATAAACAGCGAATAAGAAGCCTTCTGTTTCGATAAATATCTTTCTTAATTTCATCTAATAATTCTACTTATTTTCATTTTCTGCAGTGAAATTAAGTTTAACGAGCTTTCTCTGAAAAAGTGCTCAAAAAGTGTGTTGTCGCATTTCTGCTTTTTTTTAACTTTGTATGTCCTTAGGTGGCTTGAATAAGCTTTTTTTGATTAATTATCCTCTTTTTCCAATTGATTAATTAGTCTTCGTGAAAGAAAATGTGCAGAATTATTATTAAGACTAATAAAATTTATTAATACTAAACGTAGGACTATGAGAAAAAACCTTTGAGAAAGTACTGGCCAGAATTTTGGCAATCTCATAATTATTTTGTGAGATACTAATAATATATATATATATATATATATATATATATATATATATATATAATATATATATATATATATATATATATATATATAATATATATATATATATATATATATATATATATATATATATATATATATATATATATATTTATGTATATAACGGATTTTTAAAAGTTCATTGTTTTTATTATTCTTGTTTTGAATGTCCCGTGTAATTTCTAGTGCGCCCCTACCAAAAATATTCTTAGCATATTCAATGCGATCCCCTGATTTATTTGCTACCATATTAGATAAACTAGAAATCAAAGGAGTTAGTTTATCCCTTTAAATACTTTTGCTAGTTTAAAAGAAACATTAAGTTCACAAAATTATACTTCTTTTATATAAGTTAGTTTAAATTCCTTTGTTCCCTCACCACAAGTACCTAATGTTCTCCTTTAGTACCACACAGGCTTTAATTATAGTACCGTCATCTCAGCCATAGAAAGCGATGGCCTCAAATAGAAGGCATTTTGTTTTGTTGTAGAGAAATTTCAATCAACGCGGACAGGTTACATTAAAGTCCAAATAAGGAGAGAGGAATGTCCAGGCGTACATCCCATTCCTATTAAATCTATTTAATTATAAGTTAAAATTTCAAGGCGACGGTTTAACATGACCTAATGCGTTTGATTTACATATAATGGGAAAAGAATGAGGTATATTTTTCTGTTGTGCCAGCTTCATTGAATCGGTATGTCTCGACACGTGTTATTAGAAGACAATAACACATATACGTGTGGATTACATTTTTTAAAAGGATTATATTAACTTGGAACGACAAATTTCGTCGCACACACAGAAATATTTATAAAAACAATCTCCAATCATACAAAAACAATGGAAATTGAATAGTCCTTGCGTACTGTAAAGATTAAGAACAGCATCTTATTTGTCTATGATTATTATTGTGTTTCGGAATGAAAAATAAAGCATATATTCTGCTGACCTGTAAAACAAGAAGACATTCCATCATTTCATTCCATTCCGTACATTCCATTGGTACGCGCCGTGTCAGAGATAAAATCTTCACCACCTAAGCTGTCCTGCGAGAAATAATGATAAGTTTTGAGGTTTTACTTAGTTTAGAGTTCCTCCAGGACAGTGTATATACCAGCACAGAGACTTACATCTTGATAAAATATGAGGATTATTAGTGCGAAATCAGTACTACCACGAATTCTTTTTTATTTATTTATTTAACTACATTACAAATAAAAATATTATTTTTAGGAAGTAAAAATAGTATACGGTGCGTGTCAAAACTCCATTCCACCCCTCGTATCCTTTGAACAGTTATACTTATAATAGTGAAATTTGGAGCGAGGAACATGCTAGGCTTCTTAACTAGTCATAACAGGTGACGTAATAGTAACAGATGCCGTTACAGTGCCGCTGTGATATATTTTAAATAAGACCTTATAGGAAGTGATATATCGTTTGAGATCGTTTGTTACTTCTTGTAGTCATGTAGATCTTGGTCTTCCACGTCTTCGTTTACCAGCTGGTGTCCATTTCAATTTTGAGAATATTGTCGTAGATGGTTCTGATCTCCATATATGTCCTAGCCATTTTGCCCTTTGCTGTTTTATTTTACAAACTATATCCTCTTTAATTTCGTTTAGTAGTTCATGATTCGTTCTTTGTCTATATTGGTTTTCATTAATTTTTATTGCTCCTAATATTGCTCTTAGTATTTTCCTTTCTAGTATTCTAAGGTCTTCCTCTTGTTTTTTTTGTCATGCTAAGGGTTTCAGCAGCATACATCATAGTCGGTCGAATTATTGTTTTATATATTTTCATTTCCGATTTTTTGCTCAGTAATTTATTTTTTAGAAGCTTTTTATTTGCATAGTATGTCTTATTTGCTGTAATTATCCTTTCTTTAATTTCTGTTTTCCTTTCTCCATTGTTTGCTAATAATATTCCCAAATACTTAAACTTTTCTACTTCTTCAAATATATATTCTCCCAGTCTAACCTTTTTGTTTTCATATTTTTTGTCAAATCTCATTATTTTTGTTTTTTCTTGATTTATTACTAATCCCATTACTTTCCCTTCTGCTACCAATTCTTTTAACATACTTTCCATTTTTTTTTTCTGTTCTTTGTTATTATCACAATATCGTCGGCATATGCTATTATTTGTCCGTCTCTCGTTCTAAGTGTACCTTTGTTGATTTTTCTGACTATATATTCCAGGGCAAGATTAAACAGAGTTGCAGATAATGAATCTCCTTGACGTACACCTTTATTTATAACAAATTCTTCTGTGTCTCCTTCTTGTGTTTTTACAGTTACTACGGTTTTGCTCATTGTCATTTTTATTAATCGTCTTAATTTGTTGTGTATTCTCATTTATCTCATAACTATAAGTAATTTCGCTCTGTTTATTGAATCAAATGCTTGTTGGAAGTCTATAAAAAGCAGTTCAATTTCTATTTTATATCCATAAGCTTTCTCCATAATTTGCTTTACCGTATGTATGGCATCTGTTGTTGACTTTCCCCTAATAAATCCGCATTGATACTGTCCCATGATATTTGTTGTCGCTTTGGCCAGTCTTCGTTATATTAAGGTTGACATGATTTTATACGCTGTGTTTAAAAATGTCAGTCCTCTATAATGGTTACACATTTGTTGGTCTTCTTTTTTATGGATTGTGATAATTTGTCCTTTGTGCCATTCTTCTGGCATCTCTTCTTCGTCCCATATGACTTTTATTAATTGGTATATTTTTTCTCTGAGTTCATGTTCACCATATTTTATTAGTTCCATGTTTATACCGTCTATACCTGGTGCTTTACCGTTGCGACTACTGTTTATAATTTCCTCAACTTCAGCTCTCGTTGGTTTTTCTAGCTCGGTTTCTATCATCGTGGTCTCTTCTTCCACATTTTCATTTAAGTCTTCGTCCTCTTGTACTGTTAATAATTCTTTAAAGTTAAATAAATTCGCATTTAATTAGTAACTATTAAAACTTCCGCCTCTGGTTACTTGCCAAAAAGTTGACATTTTCAATTCTCTAAAGTCTGCTTTATATTTACGAATACTCGGATCCGAATTACTTAACTCGAAGTGCAACTCAAAAGCATAAACGTCTACTCGGAACCTCTTGTCACTCGTATCCGAGATCCGAGCTCGGATTGAAGTTGAACGCAAACCGAGTAGCAGTACGAGTTCCTGTCAGTTCATTGTCAGTTCCTGTATGAGTGAGCGTCAAAGTGGTGGAAATTCGAAATTAAAAATAGCGAAACTAAGATTTTC